TCAGAATGTTGCTTTTAGAACATTTAGTTATAATGTAACATTTAGTTCACATTTATAAAAGAACAATCTATAATCTGTCGCCTCAATAACGTCTGAAACATCCTCAGAACGTTCTCAGATATTTTACCTTCATTAACTCTTTATGTAATCTGGGATCCAAATAAAATACTGAGAACATTTTTATTAAATATTGCTTTGAGAACGTTGTTGTAACATAATCTGAATGTTACAGTTACAGATTTCAAATAATCAACATCCTTAAAATGTCCTTTGAACGTTACATTAAAACTAAAATATACTCGTAGGGAATGTTAGCCAGTGTGTGGCTAACAGCTAGCTGTGGAGGCTTTCATCAAATCTTAAATAATAATCTTTCTTCTTTTATTGCACCTGGTTTTAATTTTTACTGTGTATAATTTTAAAGTTTTCTAACACCCTTGAAAATCAAAAACCCTTATTGAAACTTTGGCGACCCCTAGTGGGGGTCCCGACCCTTAGGTTGGGAACCACTGATGTGAGTGAAGAACTAAAATTACAATTCTCCAGGTTAACAGAGATTATTTTCAGGATATTTGATCTTTTCAATCAACTTTAAGGTGTTTTTGTGACTGGTCACATACGGGTCTTTAAATGTCCAGTATGTGTAGGAAAGTCTGTTAATAACAATATGATAAATATAGATAATTAGACAAACTGATAAAAGCTGAAACTCTAAATAATTTACATTTGATGTTTCCTGTTTATAGATCAGAGGTTGGTTCTCAGTGGAAGTTGTGGTTATTCAGAAGGTAAATTCTTTGGCATTGAGCTGATTAGATCCACCTCCAGTGGCTGGATTAATACCTACAACACATCTCAATAAAAGTATGTTAACTTATTAATCATATTAATTAATTCTCCAAAAAGTGATGAACTGTAATATGTGCAGTACTTAAATATTGGTGATTTAATTCCAGTTTGTTCCCCTGACTCATTTTCTTCAAGTTTACTTTATATTATTATACAAATATAAGCAGATAATGATAATAATAATAATTGTATTTCAGTTTATTAATCATCATAAGCTCAATTATGCATCCAAATAATTATTAACGTTCCCTCAAAGTGTAAAGATTTTATGTTTGTCACATAAATCAACCTAACATTTGTGTAAAGTTGCATTTAAGTCACTTTACTCCGATAAATTCTGTTCACACATTTTAAATAAGTTTGGAGAAATGCTGCATATGAGTCTAACTTCAATTAACTGAAGTTATTCAATAAATACTTGAGTTACTTTTACTTGAATCAAATATCTTTCATGATAAATGGTTTAAAAGTAGTTTTTAGGTTTTACAGTAAAGTAATCAGCATCAGGTTCAGTTTCTCACGTTTATAACGAATCAAATTTCCTCTTTACATTAGCCACACGAGCTAACTAACCAACGGCATCTAACATTAATGTTAGTGACAGTTAGCTTTTTAGCAACGAGTCCATCTGGGAACTCCATAAATCACCTCTCTGTCGTCAAACTGTCCTCTGTCTGTCTCTGGGGTTGTGTTCACTGGGAGGCTGCTACATGAGCAGTTAGCTGAGTCTTGATTTGCAGAGCAAGCCACACGTTCAGAGGGAAACCGACAATATTCTCCCATAAAATATGATCCAGTCACTAAATCACTGATAAAGTTGTGTGATTCTAACATAATCAGTGAGCTAACTAATAATCTCTCGCTCTGTGTGGCTAAAAGTTGCCCAGATTGATTGACGGGTGGATGTTTCGATATTATTGGTTGAAATCAGTTGGTTCATGATGACGTAAGCACGCGTCACATTTAGTTTGACAGGAAGACACAATGATTGATTATTGATATAAAAACACAAAGAAGTTGAGTTTTTGTGAATATTTTTAAAATAAATTGTTAAATATAACATATATAAAATAAAAATATGAAATGAAGGCACCAAAGTTGTATTTTTATATAAAACCTCCAGATAATGTTTGTTTTTCTGTGTGTGTGTGTGTGTGTGTGTGTTTGGGAGCTCGGAGATATTATGAATGTAAAGTTCTTGTTAGATGACAAACCTCATATGGAAATATATATATAAAATAATATAACGATATAACGGAGGATGATTTTAAGGAAGTTGATTTTCTAGTGCAGTCTGAATCCCCCTGCAATATGGCGACCATGCAGACGTATCTATATCTATATCTACTATCAGGTCTGCTCTCACTGTGTAATTTACAGTAAACCGAGTGCATTACTCATTAACAGCAGTGCAGCCTTTAGTCTAAACGTCTGTTTATTGCACTTTATTGTCTAAAAATAGTGCACATGAGGATGAGGCATCGCCGCCACCTGCAGCCTGCCCATTAGGCTGAACCCGATGTGTGTGAATGGGTGACTGTTCACAGGCAGAATAATCTCACAGGTTTGTTTGTGGTCGTTTCTGCTCTGCTGGTTCCTCTGAGAGCTGCGAGGTTGAACAGTAACTCGGCGCTCTGACCTCTAAATACACTCCACAGTCTCTGCAGCACACACATTCAACCCTCATATACATTGAATAATGTGCAGCATGCAACTGCTGTTTCCTGCACCTCCAGAGGCTTTTCCTCAGCACTGGATCTTAATGCTTTTATTTATAATAAAGCAAATGTTGAAGGAAAACGTGGCCACGAGTTCGCTGTAATGAAAGCAAATGTATGCAAACTCCATCTGTGACGACCTTTCTGCAGACTGTACACACCGACAGCAATGAGTATCTGAACCACATCCAGGCTGTGGACAGGTTAGGCTTCATGTTTAACAGGATTAAATGTCATTAATGTCCAATAATACAAAGTAAAAGAGTACAAAGAGTCATTGATTAGTTATTTGACCCATAAAATGTCAGGAAATGGTGGAAAATGTTGCCGACGTCTTCAAGTGTCTCGTTTTGTCTTAAATTATTACGTTTTTTGTCAAAGAGGACCAAATAAACGTATAATTCACATTCCAGAAGCTAAAATCTGATAATTTTTCTTCAAAAAAATCTAAATAGTGCTTCAAATAAATCTATTACATTTAAAGAGAATCCTAAATAGTTTTGTGCGTTTGAACTTTATTAGGTTTCATTTAGGTTTAAATGTCATTAATGTAG